TCTTGTCATTTCTCGCCTGGATTACTGCAATGCCCTCTACATGGGGCTGCCCTTAGGGTGCACCCGGAGGCTCCAGCTGGTCCAAAATGCAGCCACGTGGGTTGTTACGGGAGCTTCCCATTACTCTCATGTTACACCTCTCCTGCACGAGCTGCACTGGTTACCAGTGATCCTCCGGATCCGCTTCAAGGTGCTGGTGCTTACCTATAAAGCCCTTCATGGCATGGGCCCGGGGTACTTGAAGGAGCACCTACTGCCTGCCTCTCACCAACCAGCACGCTCACATAGGGCAGCCCTCCTCGGGGTGCCGTCGACCAAGCAATGTCGGCTGATGGTGCCCAGGATGAGGGCATTCTCGGTGAGCGCGCCGACCCTCTGGAATGCCTTACCCACTGAGCTCCGAACAGCTCCTGATCTCCGTTCCTTCTGCAAGGACCTAAAGACGTGGCTTTTTAAAGAACTCATCTGATCTGTGGGGTGTTTTTAGTTGGTTTTAATATGGGTTTTAAATTGTGGGATTTTAATTATGCTAAATTAATTATATTTTTTATTGTTCTTTGGTTTTTAACCTTTTGTGAGCCGCCCCGAGTCCTTCGGGAGAAGGGCGGCATATAAATTTAACCAAATAAAAATAAATAAATAAAATATAATTTCTTAATCATTTTCTCATCTGTTCCTGTCAATATTTCATCCAGTTCTGATTTCCTCAAGTTAAAGCCATATTGTCTACGATCTATCTCAATCCCTTGACTCTCTAGTTCTTGTTTTTGTTTCAGTTCTCCCCAATCTGTCAAAATGTCTTTATATCTAACAATATTCCCCATGTTCACAATATTTGGGTATGTCACCGCTTCTATTGTAGAAAGCCACATTGGAATATTCAAATAATGTTTTTCTTTCACTCTCTCCCACACTGATAGCAAACCATTTCTTACATAATGTCTTTGGAAATATCCATGTATCCTTTGTTTCCCGTACCATAAAAAGGCATGCCAACCCAGTTGTAAATCATGACCCTCCAATGTCTTGTATTCCTTAATAAAATCCATTCTTTAATCCATGTTAACGCTGCCGCTTGATAATACAATTCCCAATTCGGAAGGCCAAACCCACCTCTAATTCTTGCATCTTGTAGCATTTTTATGTTAATCCTTGCTCTCTTTCCTTGCCACACATATTTCCATGTTATTTTCTTCAATTCTTCAAAATATTTTTTCTCCAGTTTTATTGGTATTGTTTGAAATAAAAATAATATTTTTGGTAATACATTCATTTTTATTAATGCTATTCTTCCCATTAGTGATATTTGCAAGTTTCTCCATTTTTCCAGGTCTATTTCAATTTGTTTTTTCAGTTTGTGATAATTGTCTTCCTTGAGCATTGCACATCTTGATGTCAGATAGATGCCCAAATATTTCACTTTCTTCACAATTTGAATGTTCAGTTTCTCCATCACCTCCTCTTTTTTTGCTTTTTGACTAATATTTTTGTCTTATCTTTATTGATTTTCAGACCTGCTACTTTCCCATATTCTTCTATTTGTTCTAATAGTTTTGGCGCTGTCTCTATTGGATTTTCCAGGATTTTGCTTTGTTGTGAAGGTTGTTGAGAGTGTGGTAGCACGACAGCTCCCTCAATACCTGGATGAATCGGCTTATCTGGATCTGTTCCAGTCTGGCTTCAGGCCTGGGTACAGCACGGAAACGGCATTGGTCACATTGGTTGATGATCTCTGGAGGGCTCGGGACAGGGGTTGCCCCAATGATGCCCTTGAAGTGATGTCCCGGTGCCTGGAGGCTGTACGGATCTGGATGGGGAGAAACAGACTCAGGCTCAACCCTTCCAAGACCGAGTGGCTGTGGTTTCCGACATCCCGATATAGTCAGTTGGTGCCATCACTGACTATTGGGGGCGAGTTGTTGGCCCCCATGGAGAGGGCTCACAACTTGGGTGTCCTCCTGGACTCACAGCTGTCTTTAGAAGGGCATCTGACGGCTGTGGCCGGGAGGGCATTTTATCAGGTTCACCTGATTCACCAGTTGCATCCCTTTCTGGATCGGGATTCATTAAATACGGTCACTCATGCCCTCATCACTTTCCGCCTAGACTACTGTAATGCTCTCTACATGGGGCTCCCCTTGAGGAGCACCCAGAGGCTCCAGCTGGTCCAGAATGTGGCCGTGCAGGTGGTTATGGGAGCAATGTGGCACTCCCATGTGACCCCCCTCCTGCGCGAGGTGCACTGGCTCCCAGTGGTCTTCCGGGTGCACTTCAAGGTTTTGGTTACCACCTTTAGAGCACTCCATGGCCTAGGACTGGGGTATCTATGAGACCGCCTTCTGCCACCAGTAGCCTCTCACCGACCAGTACACTCCCACAGAGAGGGGCTTCTTAGGGTGCCGTCAGTCAAACAGTGTTGACTGGTGGCCCCCAGGGGCAGAGCCTTCTCTGTGGGAGCACCTGCCATCTGGAACGAGCTCCTCCCAGAGATACGGAGGATCATGGCTTTCCACCGTGCCCTCAAAACATTCCTATTCCAGCAGGCCGGCCTGGCCTAACCTCTTTTTTAAACTGTTTTTACATTTTTTAAATTTTAAATTTGTCGTATAAAAAAAAATTGGGTTTTTAAATTTTGTTCCTTTTCTAATATGTATTTTCTCTGTCATTTCACCATTTACCATCACCTTTGCCGCTTGGTCTCTATATATAGTTTGGATCATATTTATAAATCTGTCTCCAAAATCCATCATTTTCAATTGTTTTATCATAAATTGCCAATTTACGTTGTCAAACGCCTTTTGTACATCTAAAAATAGCAACGCTATTTGTTTCTCTGAGTGTAATTCATAATATTCTAATGTGTTTAATATAGTTCGCATATTGTCTCTAATTTGTCTTTTTGGTACCCACAACTTCTGAAGGCAAGCTGTTCCACTGGTTAATTGTCCTCACTCTTAGGAAGTTTCTCCTCAAGGATTTTTTTTTTTTTAAAGTGTGTAGAATTTGGATACTCAGACGAAGGAAATGGAAAGAAGCAATACTGTTCTTCTGAGCTTCTGGTTTTAAGGTTGTAAATACTAGTATATAAAAAAAATAAAAAAAAATCCAAAGGAACCAGGTAAGAAATATGCTACAAAAATCTATCTCTAAAAAATAATCTAGAAATATGCATAAATATTTTTTATTTAGAATATAGTTTGCTATTTTAGCTTTACCATCTTTGGTTTTATCTCTCTACAAGGCCAATTGCTGGATTTTATGCAGTATGGAAACTGTACTTTGGAGCACTGCAAGAAGTTTATATTTCCCTGAATATTTTTGTATTGGAGGTTCTTTTAAAATTGCATTTTTAACAGCTCTATATTTTTATATCCTCCACATCTGGCTACTTAATTACAAAGAAGTTAGTAACTTTTAAAAAAAATAAAGTATGATTTTATTCATACCTTTCCAGATTAGTCTGCCTGCTAAAGGAGATGGGGGCTGATTTCAGGTTTAAAGCTACAGAAACAGGAAATGATGTTATTGAGTTTATTTCATTAGTTTCTTTATACCAGGGCTGAGGGAGCTCTATCTCTCTCATCCACTCAAATTAGGAATAGTATCTCAGGTGAGATGCCCTCCCAGAAGATAGCAGGTAACAGCAGGAACTAGGCTGCTCAGAGCCAGAGGCCTTGAGGGAATGGAGGAGATGGGGGGTGGGGGGGGGGTTGGAACTGCCAGACTTCAACTCTTGCAGGCTTGGCCATGTCATTCTAGTGGGCAAACATGCCCTGCTATCTCTAGCATGACGAATTGTGGAGCGTTTGTGGATAAAGGTAAAAAGGAGGCCTTCTCATGAAAGGAAAAAAAGTGGCCTTTAAAAAAAAACTGGATCCAATAAAGGTAGTGCTCAACTTACAACAGTTCATTTGGTGACTGTTGGAAGTTACAACGGCACTGAAAAAAGTGACTTACGACCTTTTTTCACACTTACGGCCATTGCAACATTCCCATGGTCATATGACCAAAATTCAGATGCTTGGCAACCGACTCACATTTATGACGGCTGCAGTGTCCTGGGGGGTCATGTGATCCCCTTTGGCAACCTCCTGACAAGCAAAGTCAATGGGGGAGCCAGATTCACTTAAAAACCGTGTGGCTAACTTAATAATTGGAGTGATTCTCTTAACAATTGTGGCAAGAAAGGTTGTAAAATGGGGCAAAATTCATTTAATAAATGTCTCACTTAGCAACAGAAATTTTGGGTTCAATTGTGGTCATAAATCAAGGACTATCTGTAAAGGCTAAAGTGGATAATCTACATGTTTGCTTCTTAGGAACATAAAGAAAAGTTCTAGATATTCTTTAATATGTTACTCATCAAACAATAGTCCCTCCCCAATTCCTTTGTGATGGTTGTTCCCTTAAGAAACTGCTCACTAAGACAGTTCGATATTTTAACCGAAGCTAAAGAGGGGCACCTCAACAAGTGTCACTGCCTGGCTAACTTGGTCAGGATCAGATAGTAAGCACTGCCAGGACTGGTTAGTCCTTGGACAAGAGATCCCCTCAGAATCCTGGGGCTGTGGGCTGCAGTGAAGTTTAAAAACATCCCTAAAGGAGGGGAAAGCACTTCTGCATGGTTGCCAGAAAACATCATAAATGTGGCATCATTAAGAGCTGAGCTACTTTACCTAAAGGAGATGCAGTTCTAAGATCTACCCAGATCTCTGTGGAGATTCTCAATCATCCAGGTCATGGTTGTCCCAAAGGTGCTTTTCCAAAAGGCAATTGGACTTGTTTTTCTTTGAAATTGTTATGTTTCTCATCCAAAAAGCTTATTCAGTGAAACTTTTACAACAACAACAACAAAACAAAAAAAACCCAAGAAAGGCCAGTTGCCTTTTGGAAAAGCACCTTTGGGACATTGATCCAGATCATATTCTTTTGCTCCACTTTCCTGCTTGTCTCTAACCACTGCTTTCTCTCCCTGTACTTCTTGCCAATTTGCTTTGCAGAAAGCTGATCTGGCAGTCGCTCCCCTCACCATCACCCACATTCGGGAGAAAGTGATTGACTTCTCCAAGCCCTTCATGACTCTTGGAATCAGCATTCTCTACCGAAAGGCCAATGGAACCAACCCCAGTGTCTTCTCCTTCCTGAACCCATTGTCTCCTGACATTTGGATGTACATCCTCCTTGCTTACCTGGGAGTTAGCTGTGTGCTTTTTGTGATTGCCAGGTAAGGAACTTGCCAAAAATAAGCCTTGGGTACATAGTGGGAGCTTTCCCCTGAGCCCCTGGATCAGCCTCTGTACCATAGCAGACTCCCCCTCCCTTTCTTTCCCTCACTAGAAGGGGTTCTCACTCATATTTTACATAACCATGTAGATGGTTATAACCATGTAGATGGTTATGTAGAAGAGAAGATGCACCACAAACTCTCACTCTCTGGCTAATAATTCTATGCCACAGAACTATCTCACTATCTCTAAAGTCCCCCCTAATCTTTAAGGAAGCAAACACAGTTCATGTTCTGACAAGGGATTTGGTCTAGTAGTTTCATCCATTTCCATCAATTCAGCCGCTGATGAAGAGTCTCATTGAAATAATTTGCCCTGAATCCTTGCTCTCCACTTAATCATTTATGGCAGGTGTCTCCAAACCTGGCAACTTTAAGACTTGTGAATTTCAACTCCCAGAATTCCTCAGCCAGCACGAGCAACTCCCAGTCAGCATGGAAGAACTCCCTCAGCCAGCAGAATTCTGAGAGTTGAAGTCCACAGATCTTAAAGTTGCCAGGTTTGGAGACCCCTGATTTATGGGAAGACCCAGTACAAATATGGGCGGGACTAACTTCTGCACTTCTTCAACACCACTACTAGGGAAGGTGCAGGATCCCTTCTCCCTTGCATGTACTCCCTGACCATGCTTGGATGCAACCTGCATTTTGGCTCTCCATGATAATTGTTTGTTCAATCTAGGCCTGGGACTAAGTGGCTCCAATAAATTCTCTACCATTTTTACTTGTGGGGCTGGCATTTCAGCTGTTGGGGAGAGGCACGGCATGAGAACTTCCCCAAGACTTAGTGGGTGACAGCTGCCTTTCTCTCTTCTTTACCAACAAGTAGCACCACCCTCAATCTGATCAGGTTCACTTCAGTGCTGGTGGTCTATAAGATGTGACTTTGACACGGGATACACGAGCTGCTAGGAAATGAAAAACAGCACATCACAGAGCTCTACATGTCATAGGGCCAGGTTATCTATGGAACTGGCTTTGCCCCATTACATCAGCTTGTCTCACTCATTGTGGGAGGGAAGGCAGGGTCTAGGACAGGGGTGTCAAACTCTATTTCATTGAGGGTCACATCAGGGTGTGTTTGACCTCAAGGGGGGCATAGCCAGGGGCATGGCCAGCTCAATGTTACTCATGTTGGGGGCACCTATACTGGCCAAGTGCTAAGGCAGGACTTCCCTCAGACCCTCCTTCCCTCCCGTTATAATCTCCTTCCTTCCTTCCTTCCTTCCTTCCTTCCTTCCTTCCTTCCTTCCTTCCTTCCTTCCTTTTCCTCTTCCTTCCTTCCTTCCTTCCTTCCTTCCTTCCTTCCTTCCTTCCTTTTTCTTTCCCTCTTCATTCTCCTTTCTTCTTCCTTCTCATCTTTCCTTCTTTTTCTTTTTCTTTTCTCTTTCCCTTTCTCCTTTCTTGTCCCTTTTTGGATGCTCAGATGCAAACGGGAAAACATTTCTCCTTTTGTTTCACTTTTAGTTTGTTTAGCTAGCCCTCTGCCAGCAAAAACGGAACCTGGGGAGACATGCACAGCCCCCCCCCCCCCGGGCCTATTTTTGGCTGCAACAGCCTCCTGCAGCCCTCTGCCAGCGAAAATGGAGCCTCCATTTTCACTGGCAGAGGGCTGCAGGAGGCCATTGCGGCCAAAAACTGAGCCCTCCCGAGCTCCATTTTGGCTGGCAGAGTCACTGCGGGCCAGTCCTTCGCTGTTTCCAGGGCGGCCCTATGGGCCAGATCTAAGCACCCCTGGGCCTTGAGTTTGATACCCCTGGTCTGGGACAACTCGCTGCAGGACAACTGGCCACAGCCAACACACCATGGGAAAAGAGTTACAATAATATCAAAGAAAGGGTGGAATAGAATCGTTAAAGAACGGATGTCAAAGGAGGGACAGAATGAAATGTGAATGATAAAAATTTTAATAAATAATTAAATGGAATTGCTGAATTGTCCTGCAGCAAGTAGGCCATGATGAGTTGTCCCATTCCAGCAAACGCATGCTACAGACCCATCTGTCAGGGACTTTTGTCTGGCTGCGTCAAGGAAGAGGGCCTTTTCTGCTGCTGCCCCTGCTTGGTGAAACACCTTGCCCAGAGGCAAGATGGGGGTGTGGAAAGTCCCCAATCTTCTGACTTGCTATAAAGGGGTAAAAACCTGGCTTTGTAACCTTGTGTGGGGGACACAGGGGCTGGATGGCCTCAGGAGATCCCCCCCCCCCCGGTGCCTGTATTAACAACTTTTGATCTTCCCATCTTGGATCTCTCCATCTTTTGCAATTTTATAATGTTGTTTTACATTTTTTTAAAAAATATTAAATTATTTGCTTTTAATGTTTTATTGTATTGATTGAATTGTACACCATCCAGAGCCCCTCTGTAAGGGAGATGGGCAGTTAATAAGTTTGATAAATAAATAAATAAATAAATAAATAAATAAATAAATAAATAAAAAAAACTTTGCCATCATCATCATCATCATCATCATCATCATCAGGACCAAAAAAAAGACAATTAAAAAGATAGGCTGTGTCATGAAACTGGTTTTGTGAATCTACTCAGCACATACATGCAGAGGCAGCCACGGACACAGTCTTAGGTTGCAAATAATCCAAACAGACTTTTGTGGCTGCAGCCCCACACAGAACTAGCGATGGGCAACTTGGCTGCCTTTGCTGCATCTGTTAAAAAGAGAGAAGTGTCACATACTCAGTATGATCATCTCTCTCTTGCTGACAGCAGGTGGGGAAATGGCTTCCCACCCTTCCTGCTTCCTGGGGTTGGGTTAATGGGAACTAAATGAAAGGTGGGAAACCTGCTGAGGACTGCCTCTCGGTCAGTTTAGCCAGAGCCTGTCCAGGTGGAGATTAGAGAGAAGAGACTTGGGATGATTATCTCCATCGGCCTCAGGGCTGGGGGAGGGGTGATGATGCTGTGCTGGCTCCCTGGGGCCATTACAGCATTTGGAGGTGATTACCTGAGCTTAGTGCCTAATACCCTAATTTTGTATAATGTGCTTGTCAAAATTAGCTCTGCGGGGAACAGACCAGCTCCTTGTTTGCTCTGGCAGATTTGGATTGGCTAAGTGGTTACTGCAAAGGGTGTGAGGTGATGAAAGCTTTAGAGATGCCTTTTGCCGACACTGAAAGGAGATTTTAAGAAATGCAAGATCTGGGCCATCATCCTTCTTAGTCAGGGTCCCCTTGCAAAAACACAATTCATGGGAGGGGCAGTGGGCTTTTAGTAGCTATGTCTTTCTCTATACTCAGACAATTTTACCATTTAATTGCTCTAACTAGAGGCAAGTGAAGTTGGCTTTCGGAATACTTGGCAGTGAAGCACAGGAGTCCTCTGTTGCTCCCTTGCTCCCATATGTCTTTCTCCTTCATCCAGTGATGGATCCATGACTTTTAAAACTCATAGAAATTTAAACGCAAGCCCACATTGCTGCTGCAGTTGCTGATTTCCTGTCTATGCCATTTTCCATACCAAGCATTCCCAGCATTATTATTTGAGAGACCTAATAAGATTATTGAAGAATGAGCTACACTGCAGGCCACTCAACCAAGCAGAAGAAACAGATGAACACTTTGCTAAACAACTAACAAATGTATGTAGGAAACATACCACAGGAGTAATGGGAGGATTTAACTACTCTAATATCAACTGGGAGACAAACTATGCAGCAACTGGGAGATAGAACAAATTCCTTACCAACCTACCTGACAGCTTTGTCATCCAAAAGGTAAAGGAGGAACTAGAGGAAAAGCTATACTGGACCTAATTCTATTAATAGAGGAGAAGTAATAGAGGGAGTTGAAGTTATGCAACCTTGGATGAGAGTGACCATGTCATAATACAATTCAATATAAGGCAAACAAGAGCAATAGAACATAACCCAACCAGTGACTTAAACTTTAAAAGAGCTGATTTTAACAAATTCAGAGAGAGCCTAAGAAAAATTCCATGGATAAAAATCCTAAGGGGGAAAACAACTCAAGAAGCGAGGGAAACACTGAAATATGGTCATAAAAGCACAATCCAACACAATACCACTGAAAACAAAATATAAGAAATCCAAGAAGAAACCAGCATGGCTGCACAAAGATCTCTCTGATAAACGAAAGACAAAAAAGACAAATACAAAAAATGGAAAGAGGGTCACATAACTAAGGCAAAATAACTAAGGCAGATAGCCAGAATCTGAAGTCAGGAAAGCAAAGACTCAGAATGAACAAAGACTTGCAACAAAAGTCAAAGATTAATAAAATAAAGTTTCTTTCAAAATATAAATAACAAGAAAAAAAGCCAAGCAAACAGTCCATCCACTAAAGAGAGAAGATCGCAAGGAAGTAACAGACAGTAGAGAGAAAGCAGAGCCGTTTAACTCATTCTTGGCATCATTCTTCATGCAAAAAGAAACTATAGCTCAATATACCAAAAACAAAACTGTAAAAGATTAGAAATAAAAATTAAAATAAGCAATAAAAAGGTAAGAGAACCACCTGTCTGACCTTGATGAATATAAATCGCTGGGACCTGATGGATTACATCCCAGAATTCTGAAGGAGTTGATAAATGTTATCTCAGAACCATTGTATTATATTTTGCAAAAATTCTGGAGCACCGGGGAACTACCAGAGGATTGGAAAAGAGCTGATATGGTTCCCATCTTCAAAAAAGGGGGAAAAAGGGAGGAAACCACAGACTAATCAGTCTAAAATCATTACCTGGGAAGATACTGGAAAAAATAATAAAAATCAGATCTGTGAACCAGAGTTGGGTTTCAGCAGGTTCTGACCAGTTCTGGAGAACCAGTAGCAGAAATTTTGAGTAGTTTGGAGAACCAGTAGTAAAAATTCTGACTGGCCCCACCCGCATCTAAACTCTGCCTCCCAAGTCCCAGCTGATTGGGAGGAAATGGGGATTTTGCAGTAACCTTCCCCTGGAGTGGGC